TTCCTATTGAGCACGTACGTTAGATGAACTTTGTTCCAATTAAACACTTCTTGCTGAGTTGGCACATAGAGTGAGTTTCACCCAATATGGGCGCGTGAAAAGCCCAAAAAATAGATTTTTTTTGTTTTTTTTATTTCCTTCTTCTTCTTTATGTCCACCACCATTTCCACCATTGTCTCCTCCACTTTCCGTCATCTTCTCCGACTCAAAATGAAAGCCAAAATGAATGAATGGAAATGAATGGAAATAGCTTGAACTTTTCCAATGAAAGCCAAGAATATCATTGTGCTTCAGCAGACCCAAAATGAACCAATCTCACTCAAATCTTCACCAAATGATTTAAAACTTGAAATGAAAACTCTAAACAATATCAATACCAAGCCCCAGTGATCAATTCGAACAAACAACCGCGAAATCAAAAGACCTAAGTTCGTCTTCTTCGTCGAACAATCAGTTCAAGTTTCGAACCCAAAACCCTAGAAAAGCAGTTCAATTCAAAGCTCAAATCTTCAGACCTCACCTCGTATCAGCGTTTACAACCAAAAACTCGAACACCCAACCAACTTCGAACCTTAATTTTCAGATTTTCAAAAAACCCAAGTACGAACTTTTCCGGTGAAGTCTAAGAATTTTGCAAAATTTTGCATTTGTTCTGTTTGATTTGGAACCCTGAAACTCCATTTCCGGCAATGTGGCCTAGAATTAAGCCAAACCATGGTTATGGGAGTACTTTGTTTTGCAGATGAAGATGGAAAGGAAGGGGGTGGGGGTCGTTGGGGAAGATGACGGAGGGGAGGGGTGGGGTGGGATTCTTGTTTTTCTTTTATTCTTTTTCATTTTTCTAAAGTCTTTTTTTAATTGTTAATAAATCCATGTGTCTCTATCTTATTGGTTACCCTGGCGTGTGAATTTCACGCATCTATTACGTATGGATGCCTAAAAATTTTGTGTCTAAATGACACGGTAAATACATGGTTAAAATGTTCAAATGAAACAAACTTTAGATGAAGTGTCTAAATGAAAGATCGTGTCAACTTTAAGTGTCTTCGTATGTATTCGGTCTTTATTTTAGGCATTCACGGCAAAACCCAAAGGATTCCAATTTGTTTTTTGGATAAATCAACCAAAAAAAAATACTATTCTAAAAATGTAATTTTACTTTTACTTATTCATTTTATCAAATTAAGAGAATTTCTTTTTCTTGTTTTATCCTTATTATTAGCTATTCATTCTTTAAATTATTTTTTAATATTCTTTTAAATATTATTATTATTATTATAGGTAAAATTATAAAATATATTTTTTTTTTTTAAAGGGGCGTAAAGTCAAAAGTAGACAGCTAAAAATAAACCGAGGAAATAAGAAAATGACTTCGTCAGTTTATTTGTTTCGTTTGCTGCTTAACCCTCTGTCCCAATATACTTGTGCACTTTCACAAGTTAAATTTAATACCATTCACATTCATTTTATGTAATTTTTATACGTGATTGGTAAATTTTAGACCATTTCGTTTCATGTAATTTATCTTTTTTTATCTTCTCATTTCAAAAGTTTGTTAAAATTCTACCAAAGCCAAACTTGACATGAAAGACGAATTTAGATAAAAGTTTTATGACAGAGAATACTTACATGGAGTAAAAAGCACACACTTTCATGAGAAGTGGCGGAGCGAGAATCTTACATAAATATTCCAAAAAAGTTCCAACTTACCAACTTCTAGCTATTAATAATAGACTTACCAAAACTAGTCAAACAAATATAAAAATTAAGAACACAAACAAAATAAGGTTCTTTCTCTCCAAGAATCACACACAAAAATCTTCTTCCATATTTTTAAGCGGGATTAGCAACATTAGACACAAGATGAAAAGAAATTTTGTAGATGAGGTAGCAAATAAGGTAATGAAATACATTATATATATACAAGATTCCAAAAATCTAAGCAAAAAATAACTTTTTTCAATGGGTATGGTTGAGATTCATTGAAAACATATAGATGAGTCAATATACAAAATTTGAAGAATATTGGAGGTGATTTGGACTGATTTAGTATCAAAATTTGTAGTTAAAATCGAGTTCAAAAAATTCTTCTGCGACACATGTATCACGCATGTATCTCACACGCATATATACATGGATATACGTGTGATATACATTTGATACAAATATGATACATGTTTGATACACAACATATCATTTTTTTCATATTCATCTTCTACTTCAGATTTTCAATTCAAACCACGTCAAAACTCCACCAAATCATCACAAAATTGAGTTCAAGCTCCTTAAGATGTACCCAATCTATTCTAATAACACCTACTCAAAAGAAAGTAAAAATTTGACCTTTTTTGTCTACAAATAGCTAATTGGCTAATATTTTAGGAATTGACCAATTTTTGTAATAAGCTACTTATAAATGGACATAGCTGATATTTTCCCTGGCGGAGCAACATGCACCCAAGGAGTGTCAATCGACACCCCTTCGTCGGAAAATTACACTGTTTAGCTTGGTAATTTTTTTTTAAAATATGTATATATACTATATAATAACACCCCTTGACTTTTTAGTGAGTTTATTTCTTTATATTTTGACTCCCCTTTATAAAATTCATGGCTCCTCCACTGTTCATGAGTCACACTTTAGCCGAGAAGATGTGTCTGTCTGGTCATTAGTATAATTTGAGGTGTCCATCTGATCGTTGAGGACAACTTAAAGGGGTCGCTTATGTATTTCGCATTTACTTTTCATAGTGCTATTGTTTCCTTGAAGAAAGGTGAAAAGAGTACTATATGAAGCATATTCTTTTCCCCCTTTTCTTTGTTTAAACGACAATTTATTATCCAATAAAAAGACGAAAAGATTTAGTGTAAGACAGGAATATTCAAGTTATGACATTGACATCATGCATTTATATTCTAGAGCTACATATTGATACATTCTATGATTCCAACAATCCTTATTATGGAAATATAACATAAACCTGCTAAGCACATAAGCTCAAAAACAGTCAAGCAGGGGGAATCCAGGATCAACGTCAGAGAGTTCAGAATAAGTGTTGTATACTTTAATTTATAGCATACAGATACATTGTTACATAGTTAAAGCAACAGGTCCAAACCCGCTTTAGATGTAGTCAAGTAACCAGTAAAGCCAGAATATATTACTCCATTGTATATTGAATAAGATGTTTATGACTTGGAAGCAAAAATAGCTTCTAAATCATTGTGCAATCTTCTTGGTTTTGACTTGAAGTCTGCTGATGCATCCATAGATGAGCTCCCACTTCTCTTTGTATTCCACAATCCGCTCCATCTAACAGTACTTGTTGAGGGATCACTTGGCGTTGCCTTACTGTCTTTACTAAAGCTGGACTTTGCTAGTTCTCTTATTCGCCGCATCCATGCTTTATCACCTGAGCTCCTACTACCAGAACTCCTATTCCTGTCACCAGAAGAAGTAACATCCCCAGTTTCCTTTAGTCTGTGGTCTAACAACGCAGACCCACTTTCGAGCTTTCTGATCAATCTTTGAGGAATGAAAAACAAAAGGAATCCAATTGATGCTGCTTTCAGACCAGAGCAGAAAGAATTGTCATCAGGACCGAGTCGCTTTGTCTGTCTGTATAATGCATACCATTCATTTAGCAGCTGGACCAAAAATGCTATGAAGAAAAGTGCAAGCATGGCGATTCCAATTTCGGTTTCCTTTCTTGATGAATCTCTTTCTAAGAGAACAATGCAAGCAGCGAAAATACCTACTTCACAAGCAACTGAGATGATCTCAACAAGCTGAACCTTCTTTTTAATGAAAGGCTTCTTCAGAACCATAAAGAATAGCTGGAAAGAAGTGATGCTAAGCAGGACAACTATCGGAGTTTTTGAAGACCAGTTCTTCAAATACGTACCAGCCACAATTCCAAGACAAACTCGCTTCACAAATTCAAGAAATGTGAAGTATATTCTTAGAATACCAAACAACTTCTGGATAAAAGGTGCTTCTGCATCTTCCGTCTCATCGTCTGTTGCAATGACTTTGTCATTATGCTTGCTAGGATTTCCTCCTGTAATCTGAGAGAGCATATACTTTGGTGGACCCCTTAGGTCCTCAAACAGGGGGCCAAACATGATTAAATATTTAGAATCGCGTGATTTTTTCCATGTCCACTGACCTCTTTTACCAGGACCTAGGGTAACTCGGATTAATTCTTGATACCAATGGAATGTCTGCCCAACTTGGTGTACCTCCTTATACTGAAGAAGCTTCCCTAACGTGATTCCAATAGAAAGGAACAACAGCAATGCTAGCAGTAGAAATGATACTAAACTTAAAAGTAAAATGCCAACAACAATTCCTGCAGTTGATCCTCCTAGAAGAAAAGAACAAATTTGGGAATAATCAAATCTTCAAGTGATGCAGAAAGAAACTATAAAATGCGCAGATCCATTCTAGTAGAGAACATTCTTATAGTAAATGATAGATTATCTCCATACCAAAAGATGTATCTTGATACTAGAAATATTTAGGATCTTAATAAAGCTGTTAAAGACCTGTAGCCCTAGAGGCTGGATAGATTTTTAGATATATGCAACCGTGCCTAATTTCTAATAATTGATGTGGTTCTCCTTTTTACAGACAGGGAAAAGGTTTGCAATAAGACTTATTATCTGCATGTCCCCGCTCCTACACGGGGAGGGTGTCAGGAAGAGAGAATGCTAAGGTAAACACTGTTGCGGAAGCCAAATGTATATAGTGTGAATAAGTCACAACTATTATACCAAAAATTATG